CCCCGCCCACCTTGCTTAATTTTGTTTGATCTTTTAGCCACGTTGAACAGCCTAAGTAGTAGACAAATTGAAGAAATAAACATAGTTTAAAAGTCTTCAGTCTTTAATCAGAACAAGCTGGTCCAAATGGAATGTCTTTTTGAGCAATAACTGGAAGCAGTAAATGCTAATGCCGCCAACCTAATTATAAATATATTTTTAAAAAAATAATGCTCTACTTGTAGGTTTTCATTCTGTAGTGACTGATCTAGGGAGTGCTACAGGAGATTGGGTTAGATCCTTCCCCTTCTCTTGCCTATCCAGTCTTTTTTTTTACATGGTCATATTTCTAAATAAATAAATAATCCCAACAGTTCCATGGCTCCTATTCATATAACAGGGTAAACTCTTAAGTCCTTCTAACCAATAAAAGCAGACTGTGATAATTGGCTAGTTAATTGACTACTGAGTCAAGGAATTTAATTGGAATGGTTTGTCTTCAGTTGTGGTATTACGGAACAAATTAATGTTTGATAGTAGAGACATTTTCTCTCCAAGAAGTTTTGAGAGAATCTTGTTAGTGACGTACCAAATATTCGGATGATTCCTTGCAGGTTGATTCCAGCCTATAGTCTTGTCTAGTCTTTTCCTATAATTCCCTCAGGTCCCTTTCTAACTTCCTTTTGAGCAAATTTTGATCTGAATGGAAGTCTCCATTGGGAACAAAAACAGGCAAATTTACCAGCAGGTTGTGTCTTCTCCTTTAGGATATATTTGATCACCTGATAGTTTCTGAATTGGATGCTTCTGTGGTTAGTGGAAGATTAAAATGAATGCAAAGAGTTTTCTAATAAAGAAAATACCAGAAGAATGATCTTCAGCAAAGGAACCTCTGTCTTGAATAGCTAATATCAAGGCACTGACTGCAGCAACCATGTTTGGTATGGGAGAGTTGCTTTGGGACAATAAGCTAGCTAACATTCCTTCTATTAATCCTCTTCTGAATGGATGTAGGAAGCTATCCTTGTTAATCTTTGTGGCCATGGCTGTGCTGAATGCCTTTTAGATTTCTTTTTACAAATACAGCAGTCAATATAGTTGCTGCTTAAAATCTTGCAAAGCTCCATTTGTGGGGTGGAGGGAGAAAAAATGGTTTTGTCTTACCTGGTAAATCTCTGTTTTGACAAGAGTCAAAGAGAAACTTTATCCTACCCATTTTAATTGGGTATTTAGATAGATAGGTTTTTATTCCTCCCATTCTCTGCCTCCCCCCACTCCTCAGTTGAAGATACAAAAATTTAAGACTGTCTTTTAGATGAGGGATGGGAGCCCTCTCTTTTAACCAAAGACATTTCTTGCCTCCAGTTTCCCAGGGAAGAAGATTCTCACTTCCAAAATGCCTCTCTGTTCTTTCCAAGAATGGATAATTGCCAGATAAGACAAGATTGTCTCTGTCTAGTAGAGGTCTAACCATAGTCTTTTGTTGTTTATACCCTATTAACAAAATAATGTTACTTTCAAAGAGGCAATGATGTACATATGGACATGTTTGGTTTTGACCTTGGCATGAAATTTGTGTGTCAGTGTGCCTAACTTTGTGGTTTTGTAGTTGTAGACCCTCCCACCCAGGTCAGCCTCCCAACATACAGTCAACCCTACAAGAACATTTTTTAGCATTAATTTCCTACAAATCCCCCTTTTTAAATTTTTTTACTGAGGAATGGTTAGTGAGATAGTAGCAAGAAAGGTGGTGAAAGATTATGCTGATAAAATGTTAATATTTGTTGTATAATGCTATATCTGCCAAGTCTTCTGCTTTAAAGGGGCAAAAAAACTTATGAGCCACTTGTAGCACAAATAGTATAGACTTTAAAATACATGAACTACTAGCTGTGTATTGAGAAACTTAGCCCAAACTTTCAAAAGGTGGCATTGGTAATTATTTTATTTATTCGTTTGTTTTACTTGATGCATATAGTTAGAATAACACGGTATATTCCTTCTGTCTTTCTCTGTTTTCATTCTCTTATTAACTTTGCTGTCTGTGTCTTTCCAGTTCCTCTGGAGCAACACTCTCAGCTGTGTTCTTGTTGGGTGTGTGCGCGCGTGCGTGTGTGTGTATGCTTTTTCTTTCTTTCACTATATTCTGCTGCCATAACTGATCTACTTATTTGCTGTTTTGAACTCAGCTTTTGTCGGAATTATGGGTAACACAAGATCATACAAACTTCTAGACTGGAATAGTTTCAATTCAGGTATTTTATTAGTCATTCAGTACTACATACACTGACAAAAATTATGGCAGCTCAGTGAAGTCTTTTTAGAAATAATGTTTCAAATTTCATTCTTTTTAATGGTGAAAATTGAAAATAACTTTTATGATTAGTAGAGTAGGCTATATTATGGAATTAAATCCCATTAAGTTGGTTGCTAATCTGTATATCCCTACCTATCCCTTACATATCTAATCATGCTCCAAAATCTTTCCATTTGTGATTTAGCTTTTCCTCTACTAGAAGTAGGATCTTCTGTGTGGATCCTCAGTTATGGAGAAGTTTCGTTTGAAGATCACTTTAGCTGCGTCTGTATTAGAAGCAAAATAAGTTGTTGTTGAATAAAACATTGTGTTCTTGTTGCATGTACTTTTTAGGTTATGTGTGGATTTTAAGTATATTTACAGTTTTAATATGGGTCATTTAATTTTTAAATAATCCTGAAGTAATGACTAACTGAAGAATACAATAAAAGCCAAATTATCAAGTTACAGTATTGAGGTATATCTGGAAACCACTTGTGTATGATTTGATCTTCATATTGAAGGTTAGGTTACTGGATGAAAGAGACGAAAAAGTTGTATCTTACTTATTTTCCCCTTCAAAATCAAATAATTCAAATAGTGTTGGTCAGCTGCTTGCATGGATGAATATGCAAAATGAATGACATGCTCCTGTTTGAAATCCTTAGATGGAGAAATATTTCTTTTTCAACTGGAAAAAAAAAGATAATCAGAATGAGTTGTAGTACAGTTTCTGCACAAATGAATATTCAGTTTATGTTAATTACGTTTTACAGTGAGTTTGCATTCATTTATTGCAGAAAATTTGAAAAGGAAATCATGTGTTAGAATTTCTTTTCTAGTTGTTCCTTTTAGATCCACTCTTGTTCACAATTTCAGTCAGTGATGAATCATATTATACTCATAATGTTACGTTGGTATGATTGTTTATTTAGCCATTGCATTTATATTTCACTCTTTTCCCCACTGAATTTAGTTCAAAGTAACAAAACAGACAAAAAAGTAGTCTCCCAAGTCATTTGTGGTCTTATTTATGTGTCGATGGCATAATTAGATGTGAGTGTTTCCTACCCAATAAGCATGATTTACAGAGTCATGTTGAATTCCCCAATTATACTAAATTGAAGGTTGATAAATCTATCTAGTATATTCATTATTTCGGGCAAATTTATGTCAGTAAAAGCATCCAAAATAAATCAGGTTATTGTATTTAATCATTCTTACGCTGTATTTGCTTTTGCTCTGAATATTGATTTAAAATCTCAAGAAAGCTCCACAACCATCCACTGAAAAGGAGTTGGGATAGATTATTTATTTGTTATTTATGTTATTTCTAGTATTTCTGTACCACCAAATTACACATCTCTGTGCAGTTTACAAATCACAAAAATCAATAAAAAC